TACTACTCGTTCTTCCTTCTAATTACACAAAATGGAGGACCGAAAGTAATTAATCTGGTCATAAAACCTAACCATTGTAGAATATGATGGAGGTATTTTTCAATAATATTTTTGTTATTTCAGTCTGAAAGTCATCTTCTGTGTCAAACGGGATTATTTAAATCTATTTACAACTAACTTGATTATTTCACTTTGCATATTTATCCTCCATATTTCTGTTTTCAGTGTAACGTAAGCGCTCTATCTGGCGGAGTAGATATCGGTAGTGAAGATGTCTATAATAATTCTAAAGTAATTTCATTGTACTCCTATATTTACAGTTGAAAAGTCGATTACCACTGTGGGAAAAGCAAGGTGTTTCCATTTTAAACAATGTTGAAACCACTCTATGCCTTTGAATAGAGATTGTTGGGCGCTGTTAAGAATTTGATTCGTTATTGATTAACCATAGCTTCGATAAAAAATTTACATTAAATTTTGATTAATAATATTTAAGCACAATTCAGAGAAAAAAAAATCATTTTGTGAATATTTTCTACCGAAGCCGTGTAAATAATTGGGATTTCCTGAAGATATATGGATCACGTGATAATAAGATTTCAAGTAACACAAGATAGTAGGATGGTCTGAACGTTCTCGGAAAATTGTAAATTGAGAATAATTTACAGATTAAAAATACGACAGTTGTCCGACTGATAGATTCACGTCCATTTTTTTCGTTTCTTCCTTATATCTGTCATTTGGATAACTATCTCATATTTTTGATGTGTAAATTATTCTCAAATTACTATTTTTCGACAACGTTCAACTATCTTGTGTTACTTAAAATCTCCAAACATTGTATGAGTAGTGTTTTTCTACTTTTGTATATACTAATATGTTTATTAAACCATCGTTTGATTGTAAGATTTCAGTTAATAACACCTCCGAAAAGAAAATTTCGTTTACTTAACTGTCTTTAGCAACTAAACTTTAACTGTGCTTGTAACTGTTTAATACTATGTTGGTTTTATAATTCTGATTTTTTGTATAAATGTGGGAATGTTTATTTGTTGAATTTCGGTGGAATTCATATTTGAACAAAATATGTATCTAATTTCTGTAGGTTTACCTACTCCGAGCAGCAAGATTATTAGGTGAATTTGCTCTAGAACAACAGAATGTTATCGAAGAACCAGCGAATCAAGACGTTATTCATCAAGTAAGCTTAATGCTCTTTACTGTTTGATTATTAGAAACTTCCCAGGAATTTTATTTCAGAATTTAAGATAGTTATTTTGTTCTTTAACCAAAATATTGCTCAAATACATTTCATGATGTCCAACAAGATTTATGGAGTCCCATTTAACCGTTATTACAATCGTTATCAACCTCAATATCGTTTGTTTGGGGTTGTGTATATTCGTATGTATAATGATCATGTGTGTAAAGTAGTTTAGCAATTCATACTTTGGTTGTACGTATGATTTCCCATATGATTCACAAACATATCTGTTATGCAGTTCAATATAGACTGCATTTTATCGGTTAAGTGCGCTAATCGACCAAACATTTTGTTGAACTGTATCAACTAGATAATCAAAGGTTAGCAGCAGAAAATCATATTTGTTAAATGTTCTTGGTGATATCAAAATCTGCGTTCCTTTAGCAGTAGAAAATCTTCGCTGTAACCTAAAATGGTCTTTACCATATTTGTGTAATTTAAAACTTGTGAAATCGAAAGGGCCAATATTAGTATAACCAAACCACCATCGTTGTAATAAGTTTCAAGTACATGTAGAATACTAAACGCTGTAAACAAAATGACCTGAATATTGATAAACCGTAAAAGAAATATGTTGATTGAATTTTAAAAACAGCGAAATCTGTTGCATTCCATTTTGTGTGAATTGCTTGCTCGCAAAAAACAGTTAGTTTCCCACAGTGAATTACCCGTCGTTCCCAAGAACAAGCAATCTATACAAACTGTCTTGAGTCCGTTTTACTATCCTCGATCTATTTTCTTACGTATACCACTCTTTTGATTTTTAGATGTGGTGTGCCCTTTTGCGCGAAACTCAATCAAGACGAGCTGAAGGTATCAAAAGCGGTTACCAGGCCGAAGCTTTCTTGACACTTGCATCGTTCACCGAAGCATGTGGCATTGATGCAATCGCCGATAATCATCCCTACTCAACTGTTGATGGCAATCTCGAAGAAAGTTTTTCAACGGAATCGCATAGTGAATCTGTCGATCGTCTCACCAAGTTATTTGTGCTGATTATTCCACAGTGGCTAAAACGTGGGAAAAATCCTACACAAAATAAAAGTTTAGAAGTTCGTTACGGATTTCAAACCTATTCAATCTCAACATAATCTTTCTTACAAGACTTTCAGCTTTTTATTTAGTCATTTTACACTGATAAGTTTGCCATATATGTATTTATAGCTGTTGAGTTGTATTCCTCTAAAGTTTCAAGGCTTTTGTGAGGTTATTCAACGAGTGTTATTTATTCAGTTTTATTGTCTTCGTAATTGCTACATACACTTTAAAAATAAGTGTCATACTTTCTCGTCTCAAGATTCCATGAACTTACACAACCTGCGTATGTCCAATACTCATCAAAAGGGAATTGAAATAAAAATCAGTAAACTTAATTTTATGGTTATATTAATAAAACATCAGTTTTGTGGTCATGTGTAATTTTTAATCAGTATTTCCCAGTTTTCAAGTCTCAAGGGCCTATCACCTAGGTTCTTCGAGCTATCTCCTCAATGGAAAGATAGACATATTGTAGAGCGATTCTGCCAGTTTTTTTTGTTATAAGTCTCATATGGATAGATGTCCCGTTACCTGTACATAGGTTTATGTTTATTTTATCTTTATTTACTCTAATAGTCAAGCATCTTCATCATTGAAATTAACAGAATAAACTTTTTTCTCTTAAAGAATTTGAAACTAAACACCAAACTCAATGAGTTCGAGCTCGAACAGGCTGTCAGAGCTGTCGGGATTATGTGGCCGCTTAACGTTACGAAAGAACATTGTAAGTCATTCAAAGTCTATATGTAATTAAAAACTTTCTTCAAACGTTATTGATGTATGGCAAGCCGAATAAGACGTTCTGTTTTGCCAGATACCCGTCGTGTTAATGAAATAATAAGTGGAAACCCACGTGTAATAACGAGTATGAAACGATCTATTCAAATTGAACAACTCTTTCCCTCCCCTTACCTTTATGTGGTCAAAGTAACAACTTGGGATTTTGTTGTCAGTTTGGTCGAAGACTGAACGATGTCATAAATGTTTTATTTTTCTCAAGTGTCAAAAGAGAATTGATTTGCTGGGTATGCCTATGAAATTTCGAATTTCAGCTTCCTAATGTGTATTACCACAAAGAGATCAACATTACTTTTGTAACAAGATGTTGATCTTTTTCCAGTCTAACATTGTGTGTGTTAAGCTTAAGCAGTTTAACATTGAGATCTTGCGTCTTTAATTCTCCGGATGGTTTTTCATTTTTAGAGCGATCCAATATGTTATATTATTCACACACTACTTTTAAATCTATGTTTTTTTCTCACATCAGCTGTAACTATAATTAAATCATTAGGTGTTTCTACCGGATGAATCATTCCAATTTTTCCTCGTTAATTGTATATCTTTTCAGTGCATCGTTTCGCTGAAACAATAATCCTATTAAACAGTGTCATGACCCAGACTGGAAAACATGTTCAAATCTCTTGCTTGGCTAGTGCATTAGCAATACTTGCGAAGTAAGCATTTTCATTGTTTACTAAGCCATTACAATCTATTTTTTAAATGCAATTAAACAATTGTCCTTTTTATAATTTAATAATAGGCTGAGTCCAGAACAAAGTGCGCATATAGTTGATTGTGCCGGCAAATCAGCATCTAGGTGTTTCTCAGAATTGGGATTAAAAGACTTCCTTGGCAAACTAAAAAAGTCAGCTGAAAACCAAAAATCCCAGTTACTCAGAGAACATGCTCTGAGGACAGTCGCGGGAATTCTAAGACATCCAAGTAAGCAATGTTTTTGACACAGTTATTCTGAGTTTTTCAGTCATGAGCATTCAAACCATGTTTCAAGACTTTTGATATAACATTATTTTAGTAAGTGGCCAATTACGTTTCCATTGCTTTTAGGACAAAGATAAAAACACTTTAAGGTTACGGTTGGAAATTTTCTAGAATTAATATCAATAAGTGAATAATTCATTCATCGGTTATCTAAGTATTAGTCACAACAAGTCTGAGGGCCAATGCTTCTGCTCGGTTGCTCGAACCTCAAATATGGGACGTACAGACTCTCATCCTAAAAAAATCCCCCAGTTTACATTGTTATTAGTTGGCTTAGAAAGCTGTTATCTGAGGGTCATATCACAACGTTGATATATTCATGAGATAATGTGCTTTAATAACAAATGCATTAAGCTGCAACCCCGTTTGGTTTGGCATAAAATTTGTAGTGCATATATGTGTAATGACTTTATTGAGTGACTAATTGTTACGAAGGTATTTCTCAAATGAATACCAATACTTTTTGTCAATAAACGCACCATGACTAAGTAAATCACATTTCTTACTCGTATCTAAAAGTCAGACATATATTAATTCATCTTTTTAAAACAAATTACTAGCATCACAGAAGTCCTTTAAGTGTATATTTCACCGTTTTTTTTGTTTTTTAGGTTTCATGAACCTTTGCAAGGATTCAATTCGTCAGCTCTTACAATCATTTTCGAATGATGGCGTTCAAGCTTTGCGTGATTGGGCTTCTGAACTCATGAACTCACTTTGATGGGCATTACGGATGTATTTATTTTGTACGTGGTAATATTTTGAGTCAATGACACACCTTGTGTTTGAGTCAGTTTTAAATCTAACCATTTAATATACTTCTCGAAGCTTCGTCTACTGTTGTAATGGCTAACTTAATTGAATTCCATAAGAGATGCTTCGTTTACTTTCTGATTCTTGTAAAACAAAAACAATTGTTATAAACTGAACATTTTATTTTTCGAACAACGGTTACTAATCTTTTAATGTGTTTGGTCCTATATTCAAACGACAAAACCTCCAACTGACCACTCAGCTGCCTATTAAAGAAAAAAGACTTTCATTAAATATACACAGCAAATGTACATTAACATGCATGAACAAAGTAATAGGCCTACACTTCGTATGTATGTACACCCAACAAAAATTGTACACTTTTGAGCTGAATACATAATTACTACAGTGGATTTTCATAAGCCCATTCCTTCAATCGCGTATTATAATTAGAACAGTAAGAAGATTAGAATGATGTACTATGAGCATATAAGCATATAATTAACATACTAGCATATGTTAAAGTACTTAGTCATATTAACTTCCTAATTGCTTTCAACGATCAGCCCCAGGTACGACTTACTGTTGGTCAAACGCTTTAATATTTGACGTAGAAAACCTTGGATGAGTATTGTGGAAACTTAGATAACAATCTGTTTACAATGAGCTTTCTTTATGTTACATCAATCCTTGCAGCGGTTGCCCTACACAAAACAAAGGCCGAAAGCAGCACAAAGAATATGGCTGGGAAAATTCTTTTTACTTTGATACCATTTCTACAGTCAAATTATTAGAGAAGTTCAATCGTAATTTCAATAAAAGATATGCAGAAATGAGTAAAATTAAAAGGCTGCTGACATATTGACCTAGTAATCTGACTACAGTCGAAAACCCTTCACTGTGGTATTAGCAAGTAACATATAAAATCAAAAATAGTGGTGAAATTTTCAGAATGGAGCCTGGTGTCCTCAGGTGTTGATAAATATTCACCTTTTTCTTTTCTCTCCTTAAGTTAGGTACTATAAATAGTGACTTCGATTCTGAGGTTTTCAAACGTTAGCCACAAGGCTAAAAATATACACGCATCTTTAATGGCTGAGTCGGTGTGAATACATAAAGGCTGGATTAGGAAGAATATCATGTTTATTAACCGAGGGCCCACATCCCTTTTACGACGGTGTAGGCACCGAGAACAAATAATAATACTAGTTCCAGTGACTAACTAACACGTAAACTGCCCTGTGAATAATCATAAACGTATCGTACTCCAGAGACTAGTTGTAATTTAATGCAACTTAGTTGACAAATACAAATTTGTGTACTGGGTTTTCAACAGAACCGTTTTAATGAGGGCTAGTAAACCTACTAAACTATCCAAACAAAAGATTCAGGAGCGTTCTCTCACAACTTGTTGTTTAAAAGTCCAAAGTACTAATCTATCACTCATAAACGATGATTCGAATATAACTTAAACAATCTTTGAATAAAGTACGTACTTACAGTAAATACTATTTACTTACTTGACGTGGTTCTATAAATGAAAGCCAATCAGATGCGTAAGTCGGTAGTAAACCCATAGTGTGGCACTTGTACGTGGCTAGTGCTAATATAACTAGGTTACCAAGTACATACACAAAGCATTGTATTGTAGCTTGACTTCCCTCGATAAGGTTAAATGCTGGACAGGAAAAATCAAGAAAATCTCAAGTTTACAACGGTTGATAAACCTTAGTAAGAATAACATACATACAGTAGATCCAAGGTAATTAACTACGTTCCTGTGTGAAAGCTATCACGTATATTTGGTGGACTAAAAAGCTACTTCCAAATTTACCCCACTGGGTAGGAATCTGTCCAGCATTATGATTATAGTTTTCGTAAATTTTATCTCACAATCTGATCTTTATTGGATGAAACAGCTGTACAGTACTCTGTGGCTTTTAATGGTAGTCTAACTAATATCAGTTTGTGATTTAAGATCGATGAAAAATATCAAATGTGCGCAGAATAACAGCGACTTCGTTTTTCATCTTTATTGACTGATTTTTTCGATCTACAACTTAATCTCCGGTAATTATATATTTTATTAATACTTAACCTTAAAGTTAATCAGTAAGCATTAGTGAATGACTGATCTATCACGAGTATAAATGTATATGTTAGAGTACTGAGAATCTGCTGATGTATTTTATTTCCATCTAATTATGTGGAGTGTTGCATATGGAGACTATATATCTAAATCCCTGAACAGACATACCAGATTCTAGGTTAATAGTGATACTTTAATACCACCAGAACTCTGATGTGAGCGTTTGTAAATAAAGGGTAGCTGGCATCACCGATTGTAGGTAAAACGCTGAATCGCGTTTCACGTCACTTAATGGTAGTTTCACCAGTTTCCTCGCATAACGAAGACTTAAGTGACCTACATCTCAGTATCTGATTACCAACACGCTCCAAGTTACTTACAGGCCTTTACAATTACAATGAATTCGCTATCTCTTCAAATGTAAATGCTTAGAGAAAAATTGTCTACAAATTGGTGGAACCTATACGATGTGATGTCATGACCAAACGAAAGCATGCAATTGCCAGCCACTCTAAAATGCCATTGGTATTTCGCTCTTATTGTTTCAAGAAACACATTATACGAATAGGATATGATAAAGCTCACTTCTTAAAAAAATATCCATTAGGAAAGTTTACAGCCTATTTTATGGGAGCGCTCGTATTTTTTGTGCAGAATAATATATGTTTCGGAGCCTTAGTTTTTGTTCTGGATAGTATCTACATTGACTTCTTTTGAAATGCATCAAGTAGCAGTTAGTGATGTACAAGACAAAAATGAAAATTCCGTGATAGAACCGTTTTAGCTTGGATAACTCTATAACATCCACCTCGGCAAAAATTTTAAATATATTTGTGCACTCAGAACATATTTACATGCTGTTTAAAAATGTCAGTCGAATTGAAAACACAGAAACATGGATGAAGAATACTATTTTCAACAAATTCTCATCAGCCTCTACAGTTATACATAAAAATCAATGTTTTAAAGAATAGATTAAATTTAAGGTAAATACGTCGTTGTAACAAATTAATTCGAGATTGCTAGTAAGTCAAAATAACCTTGTTCATGTAGAAATGGCCAGCGTGTGATGTCAACTTGAATCAGTTTATGGATCGAGTGAAATTATGAGTTCAACAATTAGAATGAATATAAATAACATTGGGTGATATTAAAAATAGTATAATTACAAATGTTTCGTTCCCAATTCCGTAATGTACAGAGTTATATGAATTGTAATATAGAAGACATTACAATCGACACATCCTAATTTGTAGATATAATTCTATGTTGATATACAGGGGATTTTTCTCCTTTATGCGAGATAAAACGTTTCGAAGGGTGTCCCTTGTTTCGTATCGTACTTTGATTATGTGTTGTTTTAAGACTCTTCGAAGTTCTGTTATACCATGAAGGTATAGTAAAACTACAGTACCAATCCATAGTATTTCATTCGGGTTATTGTTTAGTAGTAACATGTCTTGTTTTCCTGCACTATTAATAATCTTCATAAGAAAATTATCAAATTGTAAGATGTTAATTACATATTTTCGTTCATTTCGTCTATCTTTTTCAAATGTAATAATCTTGTCTGCTCTTCTAAAGAGACTTTTGCACTAAATGGATGTGCTGAATTGAAGTCGATATAACTATTTGAATGAGTTGGTTTCCAGTAAATGGTTAGATTTAGAGCTCCACTTAGATTTTTTAAACTAAGCAATCTAAAAATGGTAGTTCATCGTGTTCATTTTCATTGCCGTACGTAAATTTGATGTGAAATGAAAGTGTATTTATCAGTTTGGAAAAAGTCTTAGGTGAGTCTTTTTTATGGCAAGTATCATCTACATATCTGAGCCAAATTCGTGGCTTAGTGTCACTGGCGAAAATATTTTATTTTATATGTGACATACACAAGTTGGCTACAATCGGAGACACGGGAATTCCATCCGTTCTTTTGCCTGTATGATGTCCTGTTAAAAGCAAATAAGGCTGGATTTAAGCACAGTTTTAGGGATTTTGTGATTAGACTAATGCTTAAAGGACATCTGTCGGGTATTTTCGTTCCTTTGTAAACCACCAATAAAGTTTAAGTATCGATCAATAAGAATACTGATGTATAATCATGCCATTGTTTCATTCTTTTCGATAATTAATTCAGATACTTTTGATTTGAAGTTATGGGAATCTTTAATTGTATTACATACCTCCCATGTTGGGAGATATTTGCGAGTGAGAAAAAACGAAATCCTAAAATATCTAATGATGCATCTATCTCTACAGGAGTTGAATTGATATGCAAAAAGTGGTGAAAGGTTTTACTCTTAAACAGAAAGTAAGTAAACACCGAACTCCGCCTGTAGCTCTTCTAGAGTTACTGCCGGTCCCAAGCCCGGGTAAAGGAGGAGGGTTGGGCATGGGGTTAGCGACCCCATCCCGTAGAAAAGCCAACTCGCTAAAAAAAAGCTAACGAGAAAAAAAAGTAAACACCGGATTTCCGCTTACAGTTTGGATTTCTTTTTTCATGATTAACTTTCGGTTTACTCATTTACTTTTGGGGTATTACGCAAGGCATTTGTTCCTTATCCAACTGATCCCAGTGAGCATATAGCCGTTACACTACAAAAAAAAATTGTCCTTACCATTCTTGCACACTGAAGGGGAACAAAACTAAGAAAGTCTGTTATTTAATAACTTTTCTTGTTTAGGTTCCTTCCAACTGATCAATCAGCTCTCTTCGTAGGTATAACATCTAAAAACCTGTTTTGCCTTCATTTTCTTCTCTGCATATCAATTTACTAAGTCATTCAGTCACAACGTAGAGCTTGGTAGGTATGTACATCAGTCCCCATATCCCATTATCACAGAGAGATGCAACTGTCAGGTCAAATCCCAGAATAAGAGGAGCAGTAACAGTATCGGTGGTAATAGAAGAGATTAGACACCAAGGACACGATTCGAGAAAATATAGATTAATGAAATAAATAAATAAATAAGAAGAATTTAGGATCTCAATATTTGAAGGGAGACAAAGAACGGTGAGTTCCGTTGAATCGATTCAAGTTGACATCACACGCTGGTCATTTCTACATGAACAAGGTTATTTTAATTTACTAGCAATCTCGAACTAATTTGTTACAACGACGTATTTATCTTAAATTTAATCTATTCTTTAAAACATTGATTTTTATGTATAACTGTAGAGGCTGATGAGAGGTTATTGAGAAGGACATTCTTTCTTCCATATATTTACATTCACAAATAATAGCGTTCTGTTGGTGGAACAGTAGTTTATTGGTCGAACCACTCAAATTTCAGCCAGGAGGTTCTAAGTTCGAATTTCGTTTCATTACAGCTAATGATCTGGACGTATCACGCCCCCTGAAATAGTTTTTTTTAAAGTGATGTACAAACCTGTATTTGCCAAGTGAATAGCGTTATCATCCGAATATAGGTCACAAGGCATCACTCTGAATATTATTTATTATTATTTAAACACATAAATATTGGTACAAGGAAGCACCAGGTAAATATGCGCCACACAAATCTCATTCGATTTGTGTGAGGGCTGTCATACTGCCCAGGTGCCCAGACTGAAGCAGGTGGTTTTCTTAGGGGCCACACCCGGAGCCTTTGACCTGAATGTCTGATCCACAAGGCAGTGGAGCATTGTGAGGAGATGCAGTCCCATGGTAGCCGGTGATCAACGGTTGATTCGTACGCCATTTGTTCCCTCAGGATACTGGAGCCCATGTGCACCACTGGTTTGGAATCAGGGTTTTCCAACTCCCCTAGGTGGACCCTCCATGTCCACCAACCCGGTTAAAGCGCCGGACATTCGCTTTTCGTCCTCTCACTTTCGTACACAACACCCCCACCACGAGAAGGCAGTGAGTAGGACTTCCCTGGCAGAGGCTATATATTCGCTGGCCATATGAGAGTATTTCGAGAGGGAGAGGTGACTCTCCCCACTCTCGGCCGTACCAGGGCATTTGGGGGACTCTGAATATGTCACCAGGATTAGGAAATTCGGCAAAACAAAGTAACCTCAATAATGCTATTCTTTTATTAAGTACAACAATGTTTACTCGGATTTGAGAAACGCTATTACGTAACCTGTATCGATACTCGCTGGTTGAACAATAGAGTAGGATGGGTTTTGAACTTGTTACCAATTGGCTGAAATCCAAGTGTATTGACCACTACGCTACCAGAACATTCTATGGCTTGAGAACATTTTTTATATACATACTCATAATATAGTTAGGATGTGCATCCAAATAAAAGTGTTCCGCTTGTTACGGTCCAAGGCGGTATTTTTAGGGACTAGATATGATCACAGTTATTTTAGTGATAGTCCCTTCAAGTAATGGAAGATATGCATCGCTATGGTTTGAAATTTTATAAAGCAAACAGTATCACACGTTCTTTCTCTGCTACTCATAAAATAAACTACTAAGATTGTACCAAAAATATGATTAAGAAACTGTGAAGAAAACCTTACTGGCTTGTGCAGACAAAAGAGCTTGTAACGGACGTAGAAATAACATAATTACAGACATCAAGGGAAATATCGATATTGAACTGCCTGAAATCCACATGATGAACAGATTCATTGGAACTTGCCGGAAGGGTCCCAATGCAATGTTCCAACTTCGCTGACGCATTAGATGGGGGTCTGAGTCACGGACGGCAGTAGCTGGGAAAGAACGATCAACATATCCCGGAGGATGCTTCAGATCGGGAGTATTGATTTGGTTTGGAGTAGTAATACGTGCTCTGAATATGAAATTATTCGTTAATATACATACATACTTTGAGTTAAAATCCAAAGCCCACTTTTTAGACAAAAAGCTGACAACACTGCTTTCATTAAACGAAATACACGGCGTCATTGCCAACGCTATTTCAAACAGGCAGATTGTTGATGATATTCTCTGCAGAATGTTTGTTATGGTTGTGAACGATCTTCAAGCACAACTGAATTCCTTTTTATTACTTACGTATTGATAGAATCCGGTATTTTGGATAAAAGACTTTTTGTGGACCTCAAATCGGTTAGTTTGAGCTTTATCCGAAAAATATAAAAGGAAAAATGATTCATTAAGATGAAGTAAAATCTGAAGCAAATGATTGACGGTTTTGCCATTTGATAGATTACACATTCAAAGGATCATAGTAATATATAAAATATCTGTTGCTAATTGGATTCCGTAGGTGTCAAGGTAATATGTGATGACATTATTTCGAAAGCACCAGCTTGAAACGTTCTTGGATTTAATATATGTGATTATAACAATGCCTAGAATCAATTTTTATTAGCTTGTCAGTGAACCTAAATGTTCATTAAAGTATGATTATACGTCCTGACATTGTAACCCAAATTAATTTAACCATCTGAGCGCATTATGCAGATTATCACGTCCCATCTCTCTCCTCTTACTACCCAGACTGAAACTTTCCCGAAATGACTCTATTTTGTACAGCATTAACTTTACACTTCTCACTCACAATAATCACATTATTTGGGCCATAATTGGTGGAGGTGAGTTGTTCGTCTGAACCTAAACGGTCAGGACTCTTGACTTCCGCATAGGCCTATCAAACGATGACTACATAGAAATGTCTCATACAATCATGGTGTAGAAAGACGCACTGCAATACTGAAACCATGGTATTGTAGAAAAGCGAATGTCCGGCGCCTTAACCGAGTTGGTGGACACACAGAGTACCTGGGAGAGTTGAAAAACCCTGATTCTAAACCAATGGTGCACATGGGCTCCAGTATCCTGAGAGAACAAATAGCGTTTGGACCAATCGTTGGTCACCGGCTACCACGGGACTGTATCTCCTGACGTTGCTTTACTGCCTTGTGGATTAGACCTTTAGGTCAAAGGCTCCAGGTGTGTTTCCCCAAGAAAACCACCTGCTTCGGTCCGGGCACACAAGCAATATCCCGGCCCCCACACAAATCAAGTGATTTATGTGGCGCATACCTATTTGTTGCCTCCTTGTACAAATGTTTGTGTAAATTAAAAAATTGTAGAGAAATAAGAGAGGATAGGGTAATACAGTAACAAAATAAATGTGACTAATGCATATACAGCGAAACATAAGTACAAACCCAGTAAGTGATTCGAAACTGGAAGTGGTGAAATTTTCAGAATGGAGCCTGGTGTCCTCAGGTGTTGATAAATATTCACCTTTTTCTTTTCACTCCTTAAGTTAGGTACTATAAATAGTGACTTCGATTCTGAGGTTTTCAAACGTTAGCCACAAGGCTAAAAATATACACGCATCTTTAATGGCTGAGTCGGTGTGAATACATAAAGGCTGGATTAGGAAGAATATCATGTTTATTAACCGAGGGCCCACATCCCTTTTACGACGGTGTAGGCACCGAGAACAAATAATAATACTAGTTCCAGTGACTAACTAACACGTAAACTGCCCTGTGAATAATCATAAACGTATCGTACTCCAGAGACTAGTTGTAATTTAATGCAACTTAGTTGACAAATACAAATTTGTGTACTGGGTTTTCAACAGAACCGTTTTAATGAGGGCTAGTGAACCTACTAAATTATCCGAATGACAATTTCAGAGTGATTCGCCTGTATATGATGGTAAAAGTGTGAATTTTGTAGTTTCCTTTGAAGTAACGGAAAAACGAAGACTGACGGCTAATATCTTTGGGTTGACTCGTTAAACGTGAGTTCATAATAATTTAAAACAAGCTGACAAAAAAATCAAACGGTAGCTAATATTTCTGTAGCGGGAACTGGAAGTAGTGGTTAACCAACACGTAGCTAACTTAGATGAGCAAGATATATTCAAGTTTTACTGGATTGATGGATAATTAAAGTAATAAATGATCAAGTCTTGAATTGCGAGTCAGTGAAGTAGATATCATGTTATGAAATCTAATCAGAAGTCTGACGACCTCACAAAGTAACATACTTGATAGTTGATACAAACCACGTACACCAAACCTGCAACGCTAAATTTTGAACATAACGCTTATACTGAAATCCAGTATTTAATAAATCTTTGAAACGAAACTGTAGGAACCCCCCCTCCAAATGCTGTGGTTCTGGTTATAGAATACTTTAGTCACGCCTTATGTAAGAAGTCGGAAATTCCTATCTCTTTGACCATGAATAATCTCGTAAACTTTCAAAATATATCTACCCCTTAGTGAAAAAGGACGAGCTGCTCGGATTATTTATTCTGAGTCATGTCTCAAGTTCTTGAGCATGAAGCTCCTTGGTTTCCGAAAACTTCGAATGTTTGCTACAAAATGCCAGCCCTGTATTATCTGATGGATTAGATTATGCAATCATTCTGAATTCACGACTGCGGTGGATAGATGGACAACTATCCTTGATCGCAAGGGGAAAGTTGACGTCATCTACCTGGACTTCTCCAAAGCTTTTGATAGGGTCAACCACTCATGTCTTATCAAGAAGCTTGGACAATTGGGTATAAAACCCCCTTTGATTGATTGGCTCTCTTCATATTTAGAAAACCGACACTTTAAGATCAGGGTTAACTTCACTCTCTCTCTATCAGGCTATGGAATGTCCTAGTGGGGTCCCCCAGGGCTCAATACTAGGACCTCTTCTCTTCTTGATTTATATTAACGATCTTCCTCAACAAGTTTCATCTGACTTATTGCTTTTTGCTGATGATGTGAAACTTTGGAGAGAGATACGTAGTCACAATGATATACTAGTTCTTCAGGAGGATCTGACCCGACTTCAAAGTTGGGCAAACGACAACGGACTTACCTTCAACACTTCAAAGTGCAAGGTAGTCCATCTGAGACATGTTGCAGACTATAGTTATAACTTAGGTAACTCCCCTCTAGAAGTTTCCCAAGTTGTAAGAGATTTAGGAGTGTTGGTACCCTACGAGCTGAACTGTGACAAAAACGCCTTTCAAGCAAACCTTGCTCTGGTAACATTAAAGCGCATTTTTGGCCAGTTTGACGGTAGAACCTTCCACATAATCTTCAACAGTTTTACTCGTCCCCACTTAGAGTACGGAAACATAGTATTTCCTCCCTCCCTCCAAAAGGATAAGAACGCTCTGGAACGTATACAACGTCGAGCCACGAAATCAGTTCGGGGACTCAATTTCAAACCTTATGAAGAGCGCCTCAAATCACTTAACCTTTACCCGTTAGAGTACAGGCGTCTTAGAGGTGATCTTCTTATGACTTATAGTATCCTTAATACTTCTGGTCATCCCCTTAAGCTTAGTCATAACACTAACCTGAGAGGTAACACCCAGAAATTGGAGACCCTACATAGCAGAACAGACTGTAGACACAACTTCTACTCCGTTAAAGTTGTCAAGTGCGGGAATTTGCTGCCGACTGAGCTAGTCCAAGCAACCTCCCAGGAGTCCTTTAAGAGGAAACTTGACTTATTCTTAAGGACTAAGGATAACATATTATTTTGATTTACCAAATTCTTTTTTTTCCTCTATTATCGTTCATACACCTAGGTTCCTGCCTGGAGGTATTGGTGATCCACTGCTACCAGACACAGAAGCCCGTTAAGCGAAAGCTTCTTCTATTCCGTCCTCAACCATTTGAACCATTTGAACACGCATATCTTATAGCTCTGAACCTTCTGCACTTATGTGTAACTCATATAAACTGGTTCGCTACTCTTTGTCCTATGTAAATTATTGCGCTTACGTATGAAACAGATATGACATAATGGCAGAACAAAGATACTTCCTACTTGCTAAGGTATACTACCGTAGTATTATAATAGGACCGGTTATCGAAATTTCTGTACCACTAGACTAGGTAGATATTCCGTTGATGCTCTATATACATAATAGATCATGCTACATCAGGTGAAAAATTTACAGCCATATTTAAAAGCTAGAGTATAGACTGCACCATACTTTATTCATCACAAGTTTTAACTGTCCATACTCAGTGGGTTCAGAGTAGGAACCAATAATATGTCACAAATCACATACTAAGTGGTGAATAAGCGGAGCATATATTTATCTTGGCTCACTGGCTAGTCACATTTCACTTCCCACAGCCTTATAGCAAGTTCACGTTAGACACTTCTCCTCTGGTGGGTTGTCTTAGCAGTTCTATGTTTATCGAATCCGAATCCAGCCAAATACATTTTCCCTTTCAGCCTTATCTGAGCCCTTGTTTCTTTTTGAAATGTTTAACTTGACGATTCTTAAAAACCAGTCCAGATAATCCTGGTAATTATGAAATATCCTCCATCGTGCACAGATTTCCGGGGAAATAAGAAATATATACAAATGTCACACGTGGAAATGAACATTATGTTAAAATTTATAACTGTTACATCCACCCTTTGAGCCAAATGTGAGGGTTCAGACCACTATTCTATGCCAACAGAGGGTAGCTTCTGAACCACTTACAATCAGTTTCAGAACTTAGCACTTAAGACGTCTACAAATCTTAGTATATTACTCTTTGAGCAAATTCTGGATAATGTTTTCTAGCCAATGTAACTACTCAACAGGAGCATTTGAATTGGTATAAATACATGAAGGGCCATCAAAGGTAACCTATCCTCCATTTTTTCTGCAAGTACATGTTCGTTGGAGAAAATTACATCTGACTTGGGATTTGAAAGGTCATTTCAACATATCTTTTGAGTTGACGTGTTAAAATGTTACCCGTTATGTCCTCTTTAAGATCCAATTTTGAATAGAGGGTTTTTTCACTGACCATGTCAAAGTTTATTCTTTTTCCTTCTGAAAGAGACTTGCTGATGAAACTAACTGGATGCCAATTATTTCGCTATCTACACTATTCCCGGAACATAATAGTTAGATTATATGGCTAAGAAATTAAACCAAAATCATTTTGTACTGAAGAGGTGTAAAGCTATGAAAGCCCCCCAATGCCCTGGTACGGCCGAGAGTGGGGAGAGTCACCTCTCCCTCTCGAAATGCTCTCACATGGCCACGCGAATATATAGCTTCTGCCAGGAAAGTCCTACTAACTACCTTCTCGTGGCGGGAGTGTTGTTTACGAAAGTGAAAGGACGAAAAGCGAATGTCCGGCTCTTTAACCAGGTTGGTGGACACGGAAAGTCTAACTAGGGAAGTTGGAAAACCCTGATTCCAAACCAGTGGTGTACATGGGATCCAGTATCCTGAGAGAACAAATGGCGTATGAACCAACTGTCGGTCACCGGCTACCATGAGACTGCACCTCCTTACGATGTTCCACTGCCTTGTGGACTAGACCTTCAGGTCAAAGGCTCGAGGTGTGGCCCCCTAAGAAAACCACCTGCTTCGGTCTTGGCACCCGGGCAGTATCACAGCCCTCACACAAATCAAATGAGATTTGTGAGGCGCATATATATCTGCTGCCCCTTTGTACCAATATTTATGTGCATAAATAGAAAATTAAATAAATAAAAAAGCTATGAAAACAGGTTTACTGACCCAAGTATTCTTTCCAAGTATATACTTACTAACGAAACCGTCTGTCCCTGTAGGAAACAAGGCACCAAGGAAAACTAAAATTTGATAGCTGATGTAACATTATTGAAACTACCAAAGAGCTCTTATTTGTGGGTGCTTTCGTCACACACGATTATTGTGTTATCTATGCATTGACAGCAATAATCCAGCTTATTCAGGATTTATTTAAAGGTCTATCTTCTAGTTTGGCAATGAAAGTATTGACAAGGATCCACCTCAGTGATGATTCAATCGCTATACTATATATTTGTCTGTAAAACGTATTGCCAAACACTAAGTAAATATTCACTATACATCTCAACAAAAGCTTATTCCTTTCCCTTACTAAAATCTTTATCTACATTCTCTTGTCTAGCAGTTGTTCACATACGTAATCGATGGTTTCTGACAATGAAATTTTAGTGGGCAAATTTCAAATGATTCAAATGGTTGTAGACGGAATTGAAGAACATTTCGCCTAAAGAGCTTCCGTATCTAGTAGCAGTGGGTCGCCAATACCTCCAGGCAGGAACTTAGGTATATTACCGATAATAAGAAAAAAGGAAATTGGTAAATCATAAGATGTTATCCTTTGTCCTCAAGAATAGGTCAAGTTTCCTCTTAAAGGACTCCTGGGAAGTCGTTTGGACTAGCTCAGTCGGCAGAGGATTCCAGCGTTCGACAACCCTTAAGGAGTAGAAGTTGTGTCTACAGTCCGTTCTGCTAAGTTGGGTCTCCAGTTTCTGGGTGTAACCCCTTAAGTTTGTATCGGACTAAGCTTAAGTGGGTGTTGAAGAGGATGTCCAGAAGTGTTAATGATACTGTAAGTCATAAGAAGACCACCTCTGAGACGCCTATGCTCTAACGGGTAAAGGTTAAGTTATTGGGGGTGCTCTTCATAAGGTTTGAATTTGAGTCCCTGAACTGATTTCGTGACTCGCCGTTGGATACGCTCCAGAGTGTTCTTATCTTTTGGGAGTGAGGGATGAGGTACTGTGCTTCCGTAACCTAAACGGGGACGAATGAAACTGTTGAAGATTATGTGGAAAGTTCTACCGTCAAACTAGTCAAAAATGCGCTTCAATGTTAGCAGTGCAAGGTTTGCTCAACAGTCATTTTTGTCACAGTTAGCGTACGATTTCAAGTCGTAGGTTACCAGCACTCTCAGATCCTTTCCAACTTGGGATACTTCTGGAGAGGAGTTTCCTTAGTTGCAACTGCATTCTGCATTATATCTCAGATGGACTACATTGCACTTTGAAATGTTGAAAGTAAGTCCGTTGTCGTCTGCCCAACTTTGTGGTCGAACCAAATATATCCTCTTGGTTGCGTATTTTTCTCCAAAGTTTCACATCATCAGCAAAAAGTAAGAAGTCTGATGGTACCTGCTTTGAAAGGCCGCTTATATAAATTAAGTAAAGCAGAGGTCCTAGTATTGAGTCCTGAGGAACCCGACTAGGGCATTTCATAGTCTGAGAGAAAGTGAAGTTAACCCTAACCTTAAAATGTCCATCATTTAGATATGAAGTGAGCCGATCAATTAAGAGTGATTTTATACCTAATCGTTTAAGTTTATTGATAAGACATATACAGCTGACCCTATCAAAAGTTTTTGAGGAATCAGGGTAAATGATTTCAACCTTCCCCTTGCGATCAAGGATGGTTGTCCATCTGTCCACCGCAGTCAGCAGAATGATTAT